TTTTCCCTCCTATTTATATTTCTGTGAAACAGGAAGCCATGGCTGGATAATTTCATGTTCATAATCACCCTGCAGTGCTCAAAACTGTGAATATGAATGGGAATATACTTCAGAGATATTTTACTCATAAGAATTCCTAGGGGTGCCAATAATTGTGCCCAACGTGTATTTGAGAAAAACATTTATTTCATAATGATATTTTCACCCATTTTAAATTCTTATTATCCAATGAAAGGTTAGATTTTTGTGAATTTTTTAAATAAAAGATCAAAAGGATTAACAATGCAGATTAATTTTCACAGCCGCCTTTGATCATATTTACCAAGGGTGCCGCTATTTTTGGTCATGACTGTAGCTTTGCAAGCTACAGGAAGTAGCTCTATTAGCTCTATTTCCTCTGTCTTTCTTGACCTCTCTCTGTCTCTCAATCTCTCTCTGTTTGCTCTATAACAAAAGATCTAATTAGAGCCGTGAGCAGCGGGCCAATGCGAGTAGTGCTCTAGGATCTCCCACTTCCAGGGATTCCTAAGCAGCAGAGCTGATCTGCGTCCCCAGAGCCCCTGCACGCATCAGTCGTCTCCCTGCCGCCCGCGGTGGATTGTGAGTACACATCAGCGGCAGATTAAATCCACTGAGTGGAAAGCAGCACATTCCTCGGCTCGACCACGGGGCAGAAATGACATGCATGAAAGGACCGAGACCAAGCACAACGGTTCGCAGAGGTCTTAATCCAAAGGAGAGTGTGTTTGTTGCATGACTGTTGTGACGTCTAATGCTATTGCATTTATTTCAAACGGATGCTTGTGCTTAAAGTCGCTCCAGAGGACTGGGAATGCTTTGGCGGAAGCATTTGGGTTAAGATTCACGACTTTGAGGGCCTCTCGCCACTGGGGCAAAAGTTTAACTGTTATTGGTATTGGGTCGCCTCACCATGACCACAGTGACCCCATGGGGCCCCAGGGCTTTCATAACAGACTGTGTGCAAGTCAGATGTCGGCGGATCTTAACATCTGTCACTGTTCACAAACCAGAAAAGGGCAAGCTGAGTTTATGAACAAATATACTTGTCCCAAGTGACTGGCTAACCTACTGACCTACTGTCTGGATGTGGTTACTGTACAGTCATCTCAACTTTGTTACCAACAAAATGTTTTCACATTTTAATAAACTGTAAAGTAATTCAAAAAAAAATGTTACTGTAAGAAATAATAATAAAATATTATGCCAAACTACTATTTTACTACTATTCACTATTTTGTTTATGTAAAGTGTTCACCGTAAAAGATGTGAATCAAAATCATTGTATACAAATTTAATTTTTAACGGCTTACACATTGATTAATGGATCTGAACAAAAAAGAAGCATCATGTGTTTTAGCGCCACACTGGAACAGAGAACATCTGATAGGATGTGTTCGTCAGGCCTCAGACAGGAAACCCGGGTCGGTGTCACTGGGTTCAGCATTTGTGGGAATGAATGAAAGAGTATCAGGTGTGCCGCAATACACACAACGTGTGGCCACTTTATCTGTGTCTGACAGAAGGCTAAAGTCACTATCAGACCATCTTCACCACAGAGACTAAGGAGAGCGGTGCGGGGTTATCTTCCACTCTGATAAATACAGATAAAGCTCAACCTACTGTTTGAGAGTCCCAAGTTTAAACTGCATGGCCATCAGTCAAGCCCAAACCAATAAAACTGAAATAATGATGGCCTTTGGTTGGCGAAAAAAAATTTCATATGTCAACTACAGCAATAAATATTTTATTTTCACATATGGCATGACACCAGTTGGGTGTCCACCAAGTGAAAGTGAGAGGACATTCTGTGCAAAAAAAAAATGCAAAGCTGCTGCTGGCCGATCATTTTGACAGTGTCAAGCCAGAGGTTATGGAGGGAAGGTCAGGGTCAAGCTGCACTAAGCAGCCCTTCTTTTCTGCACAGGAAGACCTTGTCCTTCCACAAACCAAATAAAGGCTTGGTGTGTAGAGCTGGCAGATGTTTCTAACCTGCTCGGCACTGCTCTCAACAAGTCTGAGGAAGTACATTAAAGAGAAAGTTCACCCAAAAAGGAAAATTCTGGCATCATTTATTCACCCTCGTTTTATTTTACAGTAAACCCATATGACTTTCTTTTGAAGAACACAAAGGCATTTGAGTATTTGAGTGACTACATTAAGTGGTTGCTCACACAGAATGCATTTTTGCCTCCCATTGCACTACTTTTCTATTATTTTATGTAAACCTGTACTTAGCGGACATCTTTTACTGCTGCGATTGCGTTGTTGGCAACGTTTTGCATTTGACATGGCATTTTACAGTGCACAGCAGTCAAGTTAGTTCACTTTTTTTTTTTTTTTTAAGTGCATTTTTTCCCATTTCACTGCTTGCATCTCACGTTTTTCAACTCAAAAACATGCTTGCTAGATGAATGTCTTTCACAATTGTGCTCGATTCTCACACCTTTTTCAGTGTCTCGGGCATGACACACATTCTAATGCTTAAGTCAAACTAAGCTCAAATTTTAAAAATTGTGTCTTCGATATCTTGTTTTTTTGTTAGACGATTCCTGTACTATATTTAAAGTCTTCTGAAACTATACAAAAGGAAAAGACTAATATATTGATCAATTGCACATATTCATCAATGATGCCAAATGCCACTGGTTCCTTATTACTTTGTGATTGATTGTGATGCACAAAATTTGAATATGTGCATTTTCAAAAGTGGTATGGAACACTTTTATTTTGCTTTTCACCATTTCCTTTGGTCATCATTCAATTTGATTATACGGAAAAGAGCAGCATGGACATTCTTGTAAATTTCTCTTTTTGTGGTCCACAGAACAAAAAGTTATACAGGTGAATAAATGATGAAAGAATTTTAATTTTGGGGTTCTATTCTTTATATAAATATATAAACCATCAGGAAAGCCCCAAATAACTTCACTCACCTGTGTTGTTCAGCAGCTTCATTATCAGGCAGCTCCATATCACACACCTCACATCTTTCTTTCTGGGTTTGGACCTCATGCTTTACATTCGCTGTGAAATCCCCAAGCTTGCTTAAGAACTCCCTCTGAATCAAGCTCTGATGGAAGAGCCCCCCATAGGCACTGAAATCCATCGACATGGCCAGGGAGGACGGCACATGTAGCGATGAGGCCATGGACACAGGCAAGGGCAGCATGCTTTCACTCTTATGGTTGGACGGGATAGAGCACAGCGAAGCGAAATGTCTATCAGCCAGACTGGCCATATTGACTAGACCCACTTGGCTGTTGTCTCCATGGGAATCAGCAGAACTATCGGTGGAGTGGAGCTCGCGGGCGCTGGTGATGACGCTACCTCTGGTCGGGGTTCCAGGAGTGTCCCGGAGCTGCCTGGAGTCGTTCCTGGGGAAGCCACCATCATGTTGGTAGTCCTCATCTACCTGCATCATCTCAGTCTTGATTTTATCTAAAAATGGAGATGAGTTACCAAGGTTGTTTGAGAAACTCTGGGCCATGTTTCCTTGGAGGACAGACTGCCCCATGCTCATCAGGCCCTCTACGGCTGCTTTAGTCGGGCTGACGGTTGAAAGACCCAGTTGGATGGACTCTGAAGATCTCTTATCGACCATGCTGACCAGCGCCAAGCGATGGCGATGGCCGGCGTCCTGTATGGAATGCTTTTTAGAGATAAATGTGCTCTTAAGGTACTTGATCTTGCGGTCATCGGCATCATCTGCGCTGTTCTCGTTCATGTTCACGTCTGTGTCGTTCTCTTCGGACGCCTGAATGGTTTCCAAGATCTTCAGACATTGCTCCTCCAAGTATTCTATCTCTAAAATCTCTGCGGCGTAGAGCAGGTCATCCAGGTCCTCCAGCTTGGCTTGGAGCGTGGCGGTGTAGGCGTACTCCAGAATCTGCTGGAAGGTCTTTGGTGAGAGGAAGTCCAGAGTGTAATGTTGGCTGTTGCGGTGGAACAGGATCTCAAACATCTTACTAGCACATGCGAGCACGGTTCTGTGGGCATGAAACTCCTGGCTGTCGACCATGATGACCACATCACACAATGTCCCAGAGAGGCGCATCTGGTTGGCCTTCTGCAGGAGCGATGTGGGGTGGCTGGGGTTCTGGAGGTGGATCGCACCCATTTTAGTCAAATCCATTACATCGACGTCTACCGAACCATCTCACGGATTTGCTTCTCTCCTTGAGTGCTCCTGTAAACGTCATTCAGTCATTTCACAAAAACAAGAATGAATACAAAATACACTCCGTCAAATGTGCAATGTTCATTCATCTCTGTTACACAGGTCATGTTAATCATCACTCAAACAGGTTAACACAGTGCTTTGAGGAAAAGTCGAAGGGGTGTTGTAGTTGTTGAATCTGTACAAAGGCACAAGACAATCGTCACAACATGTACTTAATGTTATGCAATCGCAGCGATAGTAGTGGAAAGCTACCAGGTGAAACTGAACCGACGGCATTCGGCACATGCTTGAGAGGAACTTGCTTTTCTGATATTGTTCTTCAGGCAAGAAACATAACTTGTTTTAATTGTACATTTAATTTTGTATTAACACTCTGGAACATTCCTACAGAAGAGAAAAATAAAAACTCACCCCAGGAGTGACATTTTAATCTGTTGTGACACGTACAGCTGCACTATAAAAAATATGCTAACACCAATTGTCTAAAAACAGTTGTATATTATTTACAGATCAGCTAATACCAACACAGATTTTTATGTTTAACTGTTCAATAACAATTGACATTTTTTTCTGTCACAATGACAACTAATAACGATAGTTTAACTAGTATTATAAGCATTTTGCAAAATCTTGGTGAAGCACAAATGGTTTTGTAAAAAGCATGAAATTATTTATCATTTTTATTTATTTTTTACCTTTGACTATTAATACAAACTGATAAATCCATATTCACAGTTTTCTACTTTGGACTCAACAAATGGTGCCATTTAATTCTAGCCCTGATCAATAACTGATTAAGTAGAACAGTGTGAATATGGGTAAAACAATATCTGTCAAACTGATTACGGGTCTGTCAGTAATATTTAATAACATTTATTAATATGTATTATTATTGTTGTTGTATTATTTTGACAGAACAGACCGTCAATAATTAAAGTGAAAAATATATAAACATCTAATAAAAAGTATCAATTCCTGAAAAAACGGCATTCTGCTTTTATGTCAAACCGCAAGATTATATTTTGTTTGTTTATTTATTTATTTTGCGCGTGAGTGAAATGCATTTCAGACATCAGAATTTGTCTTAAAAAGCCTCCGTTGGTACTAAACACTTCATTTAAGAAAATAGGTACGGATGCACCTTGTCCTTCATGACAAACCTGAAAAGGTTGAACACTCATAACCTTTCAGCCTTCAAATCACACAAATAAACAGAAACCGTGAGTTAGTTTATTGGAACCACATATCTATCTATCGACCTTTCCATATTAAATTTACGATTATATTACGCTTGCTAAATAAGACAGAATAAGCAACAGATCTGAGACAGCGAAGGCAGTCATGTTTCCTCCGCGCAACAGTCTGTATTCGCAGTCTTTTACAGCGCTGCCAAGCGCAAATGCACCTGATTGACAAGTTGTTTTAAGCAACATTCACAGCAGTTAGTTTATAAACGTAACCATTTTCATAACACTTCAAGTCTACGTGTCCCGAAAGCATAAATGAGCATGCAGGATCTGTGAACACTTATAGGCGTGGGCTGTATCTTTAAAGACAAAAAAACAAGTTGCATCCTCAACGCAAAATTAACTCATTCTCGCAGCACTTTCACCAACTAATAAGCATTTATCTTGCCAGTTTCAGCATCTGGAAGAACAATTAACGTTTAACCGGTGAAGTTATTTTCACTTACCTGCAATTGGCGCGTAAATTGAACACTTGTTATTAAGGCATCAACATACTGAGGTCCACAGGAGCCGCTTCACGCGCACTACACTCGCCGTGCGGATTCCAATCATCATCATCACCGTGACGTCAAAGCAATGGCTCGCTGTTTTCACTGAGGCGCGCCAAGACGCCGCGCGCACGAACCCTATGATCATTAGTGCTTTTAGGATGGAGCTGGAGAGGTAAACAGTACTGTGGTGTTCTGTTACTGGAATTAAACCAAAACTCCTAATAGTCATTTACATAAGACTGAAAATTAAAGTATTAAGACCAACTTACAGAGAAAAACACAGCCCGGTATGCAGTCAACTTACACTTTCCTCAGAGTATGTTTAACTTTAAAGAGCATGACTGCATTAAAAGAGCTTAGCTTGTCCATGAATGAAGGGGGGAAAGAATGAATGAGAATAAAACCACGCACAAAAGCACCGTGCCAATGAGTCTTACCTCATCTCCCACAGTCGTCTTATCTGGAGACATGCTGCTTCATTCCCTAAACGTACACTAACAGTGAAGGATAACCCTGAGAACATCAGAGAGCCGCTGTATTTTCTTGTCTACTTAATATTGCCACCTATTGCCACTCATCATTACAGTATGTTGTTTTCAGTTTTTGCAGAAACAGTTGAAGCACAAATACGGATGACGGATGAAATCGTTTCATTGCATTTTAATGCAGTCGCTACATGGGTCAAGGACAAGGATGTTCGAGATAATAAAAAGTTGTTTTCAGTGCAGTCTAATATTTATATTCATGTTTTATTCATACATTTTTTAAAATATTCATGTTAAAAAAAGTATTTAATGACAAAATGCCAAGTGGTGAAACCTTAAATGGATAGTTAACCCCAACCCTAAAATGATGTTATCATTTACTCACCCTCAAGTTATTCCACACGTGTAAGAGATTTATTTAATTATTTTTTTCTGTTGAGGACAAAAGATATTCTGAAGAATGTTGGTAACCAAAAAGATGACGGTAGCCATTGACTTCCATCGTGTGGAAAAAAACGTATTAGTCAGTGGCTGCCATCAACTGTTACCAAAATTCTTCAAAATATATTTTGTGCTCACCAGGATTATTCCTTGAACTACTAATTTACTTAAAAAAAATTAAAATAGCCTACGGGCTTTTGCTAAACTCAACTTTTCATTTTTCAAGAAATTAAAAGTTTAATGAAACTTTCATCCAGGTAGCCTACACCTAGACATTATTTTCAATCCCAGGAAAAAAAAAAAAAAAAAAACTTTTAAGAAATGGCAAAAAGTTGTATGCAAGACATGTATTAACTGAATTTAATGCGTATTAAATGCAAATAATACATACGTTAGTGTTAAGTATGTTTATATGAAAGCACGTGCAGTCACGTTGTGACCTTTTCCACTAACATTTGAGGCTTATGAAATAGTGCCACCTGCTGGCCAAGTTAAATTTATGATAAGTAGGTACTTTCTCCTTTCTGTCTAAGGTGGGAATTTTAATCAGGATACAATGCATACATTATACATGTACTCCAGAATGACACTTAAAAATATATTAATAAGTAACCCATTTTCCACTACCACGTAACACCATAGGGTCTCTTCCAAGAGTTTCTTCAGAATCTTTCTGCCGTTTTAATTTCATTTTTAATGACAGTGTTGGCCAATAACATGTTACCAAAGATTTATTGTAGCAACAATAACCATAGAGGCTATTATTTATATCCTGTCTACCATATTTGTGGAAACAGATAAAAATACTTACATTTGTTTGTAATGCTTAAAATGAAAGCTTGATGAAAGCTAATGTTGACCTTTACAAATCTACCAAATAAAAACATGTAGAGAGTTAATACATTTACTTTTAGGTCATATTATCTAAGCATGATATTGCACAAACACAAACTAAGAGAATCTTTCATGTTTTAATGAGTTTAATTAAAATGCGTAAGAACAACACAATTTACAACATGTTCTTTGCTTATCATTATAAAGCTCACCCATTATACTGCTTAATGTTGACCTTTACAAATCTACCAAATAAAAACATGTAGAGAGTTAATACATTTACTTTTAGGTCATATTATCTAAGCATGATATTGCACAAACAGAACAAACTAAGAGAATCTTTCATGTTTTAATGAGTTTAATTAAAATGCGTAAGAACAACACGATTTACAACATGTTCTTTGCTTATCATTATAAAGCTCACCCATTATACTGCCATTTTATGGGTCAAATCCCCATATACATGAAACGACTTACAGTTTTGGGGCAAACTGGCAGTAAACAACTGAACAACTTGTGTACAATGGGCAAACAAAATGATTTTTCATTCTCTCCGAAACATTATAGAAAGCATTGAAATCATGAAAACACCCAGAACCGACAATCTTCACTATTTCTCCACCAGACTGCCATAAACTGAGGTCGTACAGTTCAGGCCAGTCTTGTTTAACATCAGACATGGGCAAGCAGACAGTCATGCAATGAGTGATGATATAAGAACTCGTCTCAGAGTCACGTGTCCTATCAGTCCAGTTTCATACAGGACTGTTAACATACCTCACGTTATAAAAGGACAATCAGCGGTTGCTGCAAAGCTATGCAAATTTTCTTGAAGAAAAAAAGAGACGACAAAGATAACACAATCACAGTGCACAAGCTTGCAGGTGACAGTGTGAAACATTTCTCCAGAGGTACAAGGTATAAAAATGAGCAGATATTTTAGTTTAAGTCGATGCTTTAGGAGCATGTCGGAAGAATGATTTAATGTATAAATCCCAAATATTAGAAACACACGATAATTGTAAAAACGGATCCAATAAAGACTTCAGTAGTGAATCAAATGGCTTGTTTGAAATCTTTATCAGACTTTCGGTCATATAACAGTATGTTAAAATATCTTACGATATTTTTTGTCTTTACATAACTGCCATTACAAGTTATCATCCAACAGGCAAAACAGTTAAGTGTAAATAAAATATGATAAAATACAAAACTAACAACAAATCGAACCTAGCCCTCAAACACTCAAGATAAAAAAATAGGAGAAATTTTAACAATGTACTTTGCAAATAAATCGTTCATGTATTACTGAATAAATCATTCTCCTGAATAACTTGATGCCCTGCTATAATAATGATCCTTTTGATGGAGAAAAAAATGTACAAAGAAACACAAGAAGCTCTATAAGAATATCTTTGAATTATATGAATTTGTAACTCTGATACAGAAACTTGCTCAAATCAACAAAAATAAACGGAAAATGCAGATATACATTATAAGTGAAACTTCTGTCTGTAGATACACCGTTTTGTTCAGAAAATTCATTAAGGGCACTGTTAAACAAACACGTTCGTCCATGGTCACCACAATGCTTTTACTCCTCTACTCATCTTCTCATGCTTTACTTTCAGTGGCGTTTGTTTGCGTGAGGGTGTTGGGTTCTGCTCCAGTGCCCGGCATAACGTTCTTCAGCTCAGTTGTACTCTTCTCATCCAGAATTTTCCTGTGGTTGAGACCACAAAAGGGACAGTTCAGCCAAAAATAAACATTTTGTCATCATTTACTCACACTCATGTCATTCCAAACCTGTCTGACTTTATTTCTTCTGTCCATTTCATAAATTATTCACTTAAGACGGATTGACAAAACCGATCATTCACGTATAGGACTCATTTCTCAAGTTCAGCTTACTCTGTTGCAGCGGTTCACAGCTCAACATCGCTAAGATTTGATTGATTTCAATGATGAATCACAGGCTCTTGCTTCTATTTGATTTGGATGCATTTAGGTATAATGCGCTTATGTGTGAAATAGATTCTCTCTGCTAACACTGTTAATAATTAGGGTCAGTGTTTTCGACTGATACAAACCTGACTTTTTGAACTACATGACAAAAAAGGGCTCATAAAAGTGATTTGATTTGGGAATCTTGGGAAGAAAAAGTTCTGAAAATGATGGTGGGCGATATACTGCTAGACATGATTAACCGGTAAAAATTTGTCAACCGGCAGAGATTTTGGACTATCATCTCTATTGCGGTTACATACATACTCACGTGACGCTGCTGTGCTACGTTGTCAAGAAAACGTATAATTTCCACACATTTTTTAGTATTACGGTTTAAAAACAAGTGATTTTAAGCCATTAAAATGCAATTAGCAGCAAAAGAATACTCTTTTCTATATGCATGTGCTATCAGAGACAAGAGATTTTTGCCACATTATAGGCCTTGAACAGTTAAATACACACACTTGTATGTTTACAAGTATCCTTGTAAACACAATGTTTTAGCTAAGAAAGAAAACGTGAAACAGTATATTGGATCCAGGCAGCTCTTAAAGTGACAGCAGTCTAATATTCCTGCTGTCTGTCATTCGTGTTAATCAAATAACAAAAGAGAAAATATCCCATTACTCTTGACTAAATCACTTATGTAACTTTAATAAGAAATATATAATTTACACAGTGAATAATATAAAGGTGTTTTTATTCATTTGACTATACTTTATACAATGTACAGTACTGTGAAAAAGTTTTTGCCCCTTTCCTGTTTTTAAATTTTTTGCATATTTGTCACACTTGAATGATTCAGATCATCAAAATAATTTTAATATTACACAAAGATAACCCGAGTAAATACAAAATGCAGTTTTGAAATAATGCTTTCATTTATTAAGGGGAAAAAAGCTGTCCAAACCTGCCTGGCCTTACGTGAAAAAGTAATTGCCCCCTAAATCTAATAACTGGTTGTGCC